AGAATTCTGGCATGTGTGGTGTGACAAGACTTCTATATATCCCACTGAGATTACAACTCAGTATACCAAGCTGCGGTGCAGTTCTTTTAAGAACCTTCAGATTCGATGGGCGATTCGTGATTATTTGAACTAAAGATTTCCTAATAATTAATGAATTGCACTTTTAGATAAATACTAAGCCATTAGCTACCCTGAAAGGCACAAAGAATACTTCCTCAAAGAAGAAAGTCTGAGACACTATTAGAAACCTCTTGAATGGACCAGTCTGCCCAGTGGAGGCCCTCACACCATCAGCATTCATTGTTCTGTTGTAAACATTATGCTTAAAGAATTTGACGCCAGAGAAAAGAGAAGGGAGCACAGGCTTCGCAGTTGGGCCCATGAGTTTCCTTCCAGTTTGAATTGCACCTTCGCCTTTTCTATTTCCAGAAGCCACGCGAAAATAGAAGGCCAAGACAGTATTCGAAGACTTTCAAGATCCTGGTCCTATCCCAGCGGAGGGTGATGACGCTTATAAGGTCGCTATTCGCAAGCTGGATTTCTACTTTCGCGTCGAGGAGAATATTCCTTATGAGCTCCATGTTTTTCGCCAGCTGTCACTGCAGGAGGGGGAGACCGCTGACCAGTTTATGGTACGCTTTAGAAAACAAGCTAGACATTGCAATTTCGGAACGAGTTTGAACGACAACTTGAGGGATCGGCTGATTGAGAAGTTAACAGATTTTGAGCTGAAGAGGAAATTGTTGGAACACATGAATATTACACTGGAAGAAGCCTTAGATAAAGCTCGTGGTTGGGAAGCGGCTGGGAGACAAGCAACAAACATGACTGTGAACCCAGTGGTAATGAAGGAGACAGTGTCAATGCAATCAAGACGAGACAAGGAAAAAGAGATGATAAACCCAGAAAGTGCTACAATTGTGGAAGAGAGGGGCATCTGCCCATTGATAGGAGTTGTCCAGCAAAAGGAAAGAAATGTGCAAAATGTGGAAGGTATGGTCATTTTGCTTTGTGTTGTAAGGCACAGAGTGGTAATTATGCAACTGGAGGTAAGCCGGATCAGCCAAGGAGGGATTCTGATAGACGCCAGTCTTACGATGCTAACTTCGTGGGCGATCAGAACGCATCTGACAGCGAGGATAACTGTGCTTTTGCATTTGCAGTTACATAGAATCAAGGTGAAACATGCCATGCAACCGGTCTCAAAGAACCAGAGCTGGAAGTGAATATTAATGGCATTACAACAAGAGTACTCATTGATTCTGGGTCAGTAAGTAACCTCGGAGGAATGGAAGAATTTGAAGAACTTAAGGCCCAAGGCCTTAACGCGAGGATGGAGGATTGCCACAAGCGGTTGTATGCGAATGGCGGGAGGGAGCTGGAAGTGATTGGCTACTTTAAAGTTGAGATCTCGGCAGGTGATAAGAGGATAGGTTCGCATTTGGTAGTCACTAAGAGCGGAAGGTGTCTGCTGGGCTACGATATCTCACAAGCTCTGGGTCTGCTTCGTATTAGTTCGAGCGTCAGAGTGCAATGTCGTTGGCGAGAACTTAGCCCCAGTTCTTCAGACTAAGTATCCAACAGTGTTTGTTGGCGTCGTCAGGGTGAAAGACTACAAACTGAAACTACACGTCGACTCCAAGGTGACACAAGTAGCTCAGAAACCAAGGCGTGTCCCATTTGCACGGCGAGAGAAAGTAACTGCGAAACTTGAAGACCTCATTGCTAAGGATATAGTGTAGCGAGTAAATGGGCCGACGTTATGAGTTAGTCCTGTGGTGATTGCGCCAAAGGTATCAGGGAATATCCGGTTGTGCGTAGATATGAGGAAGGCAAATGCAGCTATCATTCGTGAAAGGATACCCATCCCGACGGTGGACAAGGTGTTGGAAAATCTCAATGGCAGTGCTGTGTTTTCAAAATTGAATCTTTGTCTGGGATTCCACCAGACTGAACTAGATGAGGACTCAAGAGATATAACCACATTTGCCACACATGATGGGTTATTCAGATACTACCTCACAAAGACGTGTTTCTCGAGAAACGTTGACCAGATAGCCTCGTCCTGAAACTGTAACTCCGCGGACCCTTTGCATTGCAGACACAAATGCAATAAGGGCTCTTCAGGTTGGACAAAGTAGTCTTCATGGGACTTCTAGTGTCAAAGTACGGTAGCGGTCCAACCGAAGAGAAAGTCCGTGCTGTACCTGAATCAAGCCGCCCAACCACACCAACAGAGGTTAGGAGCTTCCTGGGGATGGTCGGCTTCAGTGCACGTTTTATTCCAAACTTTGCCGCCATTGCAGATCCTCTACGAGCGATCTTTAGGCAGGGAGTACCCTTTGTACGGGACAGTGAGCAAGAAGCGTCATTTCAGGAACTAAAACAGCAGTTAGCCAAGGCGCCTGTTCTGGCATACTTTGACAAAGAGGCACACACTCGAGTAATAGCTGATGTAAGTCCGGTGGGGCTAGATGCAGTGCTAGTCCAGGAGAAGAACTGTGTGGGCAGAGGCGTCTGTTACGCCAGCAGGAGCCTTAGCAGCGTACAAAGGAGATACAGTCAGACAGAAAAAGAAGCGCTCGCACTAGTGTGAGCGTGCGAATGGTTCAACCAATACTGGTACGGTTTGCAGACATTTGACTTGGTGACTGATCATGAGACTTTGAAGGTGATTTACACTAGAGGATCCAAGCCATCAGCACGCATTGAATGCTGGGTGTTGCGGTTGCAACCATATAGTTACAAGGTATGCTGCGTCGCATCACGAGATAATATTGCTGCTGCCCTGTCACGTCTAATTACGCTCCAAGCATCAGAGATATGTCGTTATGATTATGAACATGTTCGGATGGTTGCTCTTAAAGCAGTCCCCGTAGCCAATAAGATCTAGGAGATAGAGATTGCCTCTGCAGAGGATGAGGAGTTACAAGCAGTGCATAATTCCCTTGTTAGTGGCAATTAGGAGAAGTGCCCACGGTCATTTTTGATGGTGCGCAACGAATTGACGTTCATTGGTCAAGTTATACTACGTGGAACACGAATTGTGATACCCAAGGTGCTGAGATTAAGGGTTTTGGAACTCGCGCACCAAGGTCACCATGGAATCGTCAAAATGAAGGAGAGACTCAGGTCTAAAGTGTGGTGACCAGGAGTTGATAAGGCTGTGGAACGGAAGTGCCGGGAATGTTACGGGTGCCAACTGGTCACAAAGGAGACAATCACTCCGCCTGTTAAAATAACCAGGATGCCAACGAGGCCATGGAATGATCTAGTACTGGACTTACTTGGGCCTATGCCCACAGGAGAATATCTGCTGGTCTTAGTGGATTAGTTCAGCCGATGGGTGGAAGTTAACATCATTAAATCTACCACTTCTGAGACNGCAGACAAAAATGCGATAAGGGCTATTCAGGATGGACAAAGTAGTCTTCATGGTACTTCTAGTGTCAAAGTACGGTTTCGGTCCAACTGAAGACAAAGTCCGTGCTGTACTTGAATCAAGCCGCCCAACCAAACCAAGAGAGGGTAGGAGCTTCCTGGAGATGGTCGGCTTCAGTGCACGTTTTATTCCCAACTTTGCCACCATTGAAGAACCTCTACGGGCGATCTCTAAGCAGGGAGTACCCTTTGTATGGGACAGTGAGCAAGAAGCTTCATTTCAGGAACTGAAACAGCAGTTTGCCAAGGCGCCTGTTCTGGGATACTTTGACAAAGAGGCACATACTCGAGTGATAGCTGATGCAATTCAGGTGGGACTAGGTGCAGTGCTAGTCCAGGAGAAGAACTGTGTGGGCAGAGCCGTCTGTTACGCCAACAGGAGCCTTAGCAGCGTAGAAAGGAGATACAGTCAGACAGAAAAAGAAGCGCTCGCACTAGTGTGGGCGTGCGAATTGTTCAACCAATACTTGTGCGGCTTGCAGACCATTCACTTGGTGACAGATCACGACGCTTTGAAGGTGATTTACTCTAGAGGATCCAAGCCATGAGCACGCATTGAACGCTGGCTGTTACGGTTGCAACCATATAGTTACAAGGTATGCTGCGTCGCATCACGAGATAATATTGCTGATGCCTTGTCACGTCTGACAACGTTGCAAGCATCAGAGAAATGTCGTTATGATGATGAACATGTTCGGATGGTTGCTCTTAAAGCAGTCCCCGTAGCCATTGAGATCCAGGAGATAGAGAGTGCCTCAGCAGAGGATGAAGAGTTACAAGCAGTACATAAAAGCCTTGTTAGTGCAAGTTGGGAGAAGGGCCCACGGTCATTTTTGATGGTGCGCAACGAATTGACGTTCATTGGTCAAGTTATACTACGTGGAACACGAATGGTGATACCCAAAGTGCTCAGATTAAGGGTTTTGAAACTCGCGCACGAAGGTCACCAGGATATCGTCAAAATGAAGGAGAGACTCAGGTCTAAAGTGTGGTGGCCAGAGGTTGATAAGGCTGTGGAACGGAAGTGCCGGGAATGTTACGGGTGCCAACTCGTCACAAAGGAGACAATCACTCCGCCTGTTAAAATAACCAGGAAGCCAGAGAGGCCATGGCATGATCTAGTACTGGACTTACTTGGGCCTATGCCAACAAGAGAATATATGCTGGTCTTAGTGGATTACTTCAGCCGATGGGTGGAATTTGACATCATTAAATCTACCACTTCTGAGACGATCATCAAGTGATTAGATAAACAGTTCTCCGGATATGGGGTACCTAATACCCTGAGAACGGACAACGGACCCAACCTAGTGTCTGCAGAAATGGAAGAATACTTGAATGAAATGGGCATCGAGCATAGAGTGACCACACCACTATGGCCTAGTGCAAATGTGGAAGTCGAAAGACAAAAGCGTTCCCTTTTGAAAAGAATGAGAGTGGCCTATGCTGTGAAGAGAGACTGGAGACTAGAGTTGAATAAGTATCTTCCAGCCAACTGGTCCACCCCACATGTAATTAGAACTGGCCAGAGCCCAGCAGAACTGTTATTCGGGAGGAAATTGTCTACTAAGTTGCCAGAGGTTGCTGATCTAGAAGAATCTGAGGACCCGGGATATGAACAGGCGAGATCGCGATGCAGAAAAAAAGCAGGTTGGGGCTGACCATGTCGACAAGAGAAATGCCCACAAAAGCGAGATTTTGTGTTACCGGAGAAGAGGAAGGAGAATAAATCGTCACCACATTATGAGAAAGAGCCATACCAGGTGATAGTACGTCATGGGGATCAAGTCCAGTTAAAGTCACCTCAAGGCATGCAATACAAGCGAAACATTCAGCCATTCAGCATGTCAAGCAGTTTGTTACACCAGCTACAGAGCCAAAGGGACCGAGCCCTGCAGAGCCTGTGAACAAGGGTGTGGACAAGGACTCACACCCAGCCCAGAGATGGGAGCCAGTGCATGGCCAGTGGAGGACCAGAGTCCTATCCAGCCACAGCTGTTACC